CCTTCCTGTTGTTAATTTCTAGTTTGATTGCATTGTGATCAGACAAGATACTTTGTATTATCTTAGTGTTTTGAATTTTGTTCAGGGTTGCTTTGTGGCCTAAGATGTCATCTATTCTGGAGAATGTTCCATGTGGGTTGGAAAAGAATGTGTACTTTGTAGCTGTTGGGTGGAGTGTTCTATATATGTCTGTTAGGTCAAGTTGGCTGATTGTGGCCTTTAGATCTTCTGTATCTTTGTTGAGTTTCTTTCTAGATGTTCTGTCCTTTACCAAGAGTGGTGTGTTGAAGTCTCCTACTATTATAGTGGAACTGTTAGTTTCTCTTTTCAGTGCTGTTAAAATTTGTTTTACGTATTTTGGAGCCCTGTCATTGGGTGCATAGATATTTATTATGGTTATGTCTTCATGCTGGATTGTCCGTTTAATCATGATGTAGTGCCCTTCTTTGTCTTTTATGGTGGATTTTGTTTTAAAGTCTATTTTATCTTAGATTAGTATTGCCACTCCTCTTTTGGTGGCTGTTTGCTTGATATATTTTTTCCATCCTTTGATTTCTAATAAATTTATGTCTTTGTTTCTAAGATATGTCTCTTGTAGACAGCGTATTGATGGATCCTGTTTTTTATCCATTCTGTCACTCTCTGTCTCTTTATGGGTGCATTTAGGCCATTTACGTTCAGTGTAGTTGTTGATAGGTGTGAGTTTATTGTTGTCGTTTTGTATTGCTTTTTTTGTGGTGCTGATGATATCTTTGTTCCTCTTACTCTCCTGTGCCGAATTCCTTTTGTTTGTGGATTTTTTTTCATTTCTTTTTTTTTTTTGTAGATTTTGTTTTTACTGACACTTTGTTTTTCTTCTCTATTTTGATGAGTAGGTTTGTTAACTTCCTTTGTGGTTACCTTGAAATTTACCCTTATCTTCCTAGGTTTGAACCAGTCTTTTATTACTTGGTATCACTTTGCTTTCCTCTCCATTAGAAAGTTTTATACCTGCACCACTTATTCCCTTTTTGATTGTTCTGATGTTGTTGTCATTTGTAGATTAACCTGTCTGGTTCTCTGTTGTAAATCTTTTGGTTTTAAATAGTCCTTGAGAGTTCATTTCCTAGGTTGGTATCTAGCTGGTGTGATCTTGTGTCCTAGATTCAGGCTGTCCCGTCTGATGTTGTTTGTTCTGAAACCGAAGGACTCCCTTTAATAATTCTTGTTAAGTTTGGTTTGGTTTTTACATATTCCTTCAATTTCTGTTTGTCTGGAAATGTCCTAATTTCACCATCATATTTGAACGAGAGTTTTGTAGGATGTATTATTCTCGGTTGGCAGTTTTTTCTTTCAAGGTTTTATATGTGTCATTCCATTATCTTCTTGCCTGCATGGTTTCTGTGAATAATCTGAGGTTAGTCTTATTGTTTCTTTTCTCTATGTGACTTTTTGTTTTTCTTGAGCTGCTGTCAGGGTTGTTTGTTTGTCTTTGGTTTTAGCGATTGAGATTATGATACACCTTGGTGATTTTCTTTTGGGGTCTGTCCTGTATGGGGTTCGTTGAGCTTCTTGGATGATCAGCTTTTCATCTTTCATGATATTAGGGAAGTTTTTTGTCAGTGATTCTTTAATGATCTTTGGGTTTTCTGTTTTCTCCTCCTGTTCTGGAACTCGGATCACTCGCAAGTTTTTCTTTTGATTGTATCCCACATAAATCTCAGGGTTTCTTCATTTTTCTTTGTTCTTTTTTCTGATTTTTCCGCAAACAAAGTTGTATCCAAGTGTTTGTGTTCAGTTTTGCTAATCCTGTCTTCCATTGTTTCAAACATGTTCCTCAGCCCTTCTATGACATTGTCCAGTTTTGAAATCCTGTTGTTTATCTTTTGGATTTCTAATTGTTGTTTTTGTGATTTCTGGTTGTGAATTCATTTTGACATTTTGTTCCTGTATTATTTTCCTGAATTCTTCCATTGCTTTGTCTGTATTTTCCATGAATTTATTCTGCCTTTTCCATGAATTTGTGTATTTCTTCCTCATTTTTTTCTGCTTTTTGCTTCAACTCTTGGATAGCTCTGAATATTAGAGATTTGAATTCCCTATCGGGTAGTTCTAGTACCTTTTCTTGTACTGGGAAGTCATCTGGTGTTTTATTTTGGATGCCTGCTGAAACCATCCTGTCCTGTTTTTTAAATATGTTTTAATATTGTCTGCTGTTCTTGGGACATTCAGTAATTATTTTCTTCATTTATTGATTGTAGATTTGTTTGTTTCATCCTGCTTTTTTGTTTTATTTGGTTATGTCTGGGCAGGTGGGCTGTGTGTTCTTTGTTTGCTTGTCTGTGGACATGATTTTTTTCACTTATTTTTCCAATGGGCAGGGTCAGTTGCTCAGCTATGGTGTAGCAGGGCAGGTTCAGCTGAAGGGGAGGGCCTGGGATAGGTTGTTTGTGACACGTACTTGGGCTGACAAGATGAGGCAGTGGTCAGCGCGGCGCAGGTTCCAGTAGGTCATGCCTGTGCTGCTTGGGAGTGCAATGTTCAGCACATGGTGCAGATAGGCAGGAGGTGGGGGAGGGGGAAGTTGTGATGTGCGGAGCTAGGTTGGGTCTGGAGAAGAAGAGAGAGCGGAGAGAGAAACAGGAGCAAAAGAAATGCCGAGGGAGCTTGCCATTGGAGTAGAGAGACAAGAAACAGTAATGGAGAAAAACAAAAAGGAAAAGAAAATTTTGAAAAAATTGCCCCTAGGGATCTCACTTGTGCATATGCACAGACCGGGGAGTGGCTCCCAGGCTGCACAGTGTAGCCTAGCTATAAGGGGTGAAGATGATACACAGCGCCCAAGTATTCAGGAGACAGTAGAGGTAGGTAAGTAGAAGGAGACAAGAAACTGAAAAATGAAGAATAAAAAGGAAAAAAAAAAAAAAAGAGAAAACAAAAAGAAAAAGAAAAAAAAAATCCCTAGGTATCCCACCAGTGTGGCCGCCCAGACTGGGGAAATGGACCAGGAAGGCAGTTCTCCAGCTGAGCAGCGCTTCACAGCTGGTGCGAAGAAGCGAAGATGGCGCACGGAGTCAGGTGCTCGAGAGAAAGAAGGAGGAGGAGGTGATTGGCAGGGAAGAAACCAAAAGAGGCCGAAGAAGAGTAATACCAGCAACAAAATGGCGTTGAAGAAGCTGGCTGGTGTGGGTGGGGTGAGTTTGTGAGGCACAGAACTGGTGCCTCCTGTACCACAGTTGCAGCCCACTGGGGAGTGATGGATTGGCTCTCTGGGAAGCCGGTCCACTGGGAAGCCGCGAATTGGCCTGCTGGTAAGCCAGGAATCTTCTTGCCAGGAAGCAGCAGACTGGCCAGCTGGGAAGTGGCGATGGTCGAGTGTGCGGAGGCAGGGTTGGGGGTGGGAAAACGTGTCTTTCTGGTTACTGGGGGCTCTGTCCCCTGATGGGAGCTCTGTAAATGTGCTTTCTTGTACTCCCTGTCCACTGATCTCCAGCAGGAGTCCAAGAGGGTAGATCCGTGCTGTATTAGCTGATAGGGGACCTCTGCTCATAACTTTGCTCACTCTCTGTTGTCTGTCAGTTTCTTATACCATTCAGTGCTTGGTTGAGTTCTTTATCTCTTCGTTTGACGCTTAGGGTTCCAGGATTGATGTTTGTCTCTGTTTGACTTAGTTTTTTGGGTCTTTGCTGTGGAGGGACAGCATGGTGCTTCTGTCTGTAGCACCATGCTCCAGAATTCTTCCCTCTCCTTTTAAAAAAGTTCTTAAAATGAAGGTTAGGCTCTTCTAGGAGAAGGTAAAATTCTTCATAACAGTGTTCATGTTGAGCAAAGCCTTTCTGCTCAAAACTGCCACGTAATCAGGATTTTATCAAGTTTGAACCTTTAAATATATTAGCTCTGACTTCAAGCGTATTGCCACGTATATAGATACTTAGCCAAGGTTCGGTATGATATAAATGGAAAGAAAAACCATGAGCTTAGAGACTACTATCCCAACTTGGATTTAGTCCTACCTCCCTAACTTATTGATATATGCATTTGAGCAAGTGAGTTGATTTGGGAAGCCTGAGTTTCCTCATCTGTAAAATGGGTATAAAACCCATCTCCAAATTACGAGAATGAAGTGAGAAAAATTGAAAATGCCTGGAATGTTGTACACGTTGGGATGTTAGTTTTCTTTCCCCTGTGTGTCATTCTCTTCTCTGTAGGGAAATTTGATGAAAATAGAACAAAAGTAATTATTCTGTTTCTGAAATCATTGTCCTCCCAGAGCCTCAGCATCTTAACTTCTTTTAGGTGAAAGACTCACACTGCTGGTGTCCATTTAGGGCTGAATTTAGACACTAAGTGTGAGGAGGGTTTGAATATGACAGCCAACCCTTGGTAATGAAAGAGAACAAAATCCTGGATCAGTGTATTTTGCTGTAGAATTTTGGGAGCAACACATTTACTTTCCTAACAGCTGTTGGTTAGGTAAACTATACGAATACTCTTTATTCTTAGAATATGTACAAGAAGGGAGAACTCTGGAAGGTATGGGTAGAGAACTCCTGATAAGGAAAATTGGCAATGAATAATATACCCAGATAAATCCAAAGTTCCTTTGTTTTATGGGTTGGTGCGTGCTTGTGCTGGGCAGCTGTTGGGGCATGTGCTTACCCAACACGATAAGCAAATATTGTATCTAAGTCACCAGTAAGATGTATTTCTCTTGTTTATTCTTCCAATTCAGTAAAAACTATTTGTACATGTAACTTTTGGAGACCTAAGTATTCCTCAGCTGAAAATCTCATGATGAGGAGTGAGGTTCCTTCTATAAACCTGTGTCTGGAGTCTCATCTTTGTGATACAAAGTGTTGTTTTAGTTAATGTAGAAAACTGAATCCATGTGAAGCATTGTGATGTTACTGGATTCTGGAATTTTAGAAGCACTGCTGGCTTCTACAGCCTGGTAAGCATAGTATTTAAATTGGACATATTGTTTTGTTTTTTTTTAAATGTTTGTATTCTTTGCTTTGAAGGACTGTAGACAGTTTCTCAATCACCTGAATGACAGACTTGGTGACCAAAGGAGGTAAGATGTCTATCCCGTGCATTACTTTATTCACTAGTTGTATTCTGAAAATGTCTAACATTTAAAGAGAACGATCCAAAATGCTTTAATTTATTTTAGGAAAGAATATCGGATACGTAATTTACTGAGCACTTTTGAGTTGTCTGTTGAGTACAGACCTCAGAAAATCAGACCCTGTCTGCCTAGTGGCTCATTTGAGTGTTTTAAAATTATCTCTATTAGTCTTTTAGCATATTTATTTATGATTGGGGATGTTTTTTAACACAGCATCCTCCAGGGTGCCCACAGATTTTATGAAGGGCAATTTCCTAAAGACCCGAGGTCACTGGGTACAGGTGTATTATGGACAGCTAAGTTCTTGATGAGAACCATTTGCCAAATTCAGCCCTCTTGTTGAGGATCTTGCTAAGCTGCTGGGTTGAGGCATAATACCAGTAAACCTGGCTTGTAGTCCCTGGTGGTGCAAACGGTTAACACGCTTGGCTGCTAACTGAAAGGTTGGAGGTTCGAGTCCACCCAGAGGTGTTTCAAAAGAAAGGCCTGTCAGTCTAGTTTCCCAAAATCAGCTGTTGAAAACCCTGTGGAGCGCAGCTCTACTCCGACAGATATGGGGTTGACTTGAGCTGGAGTTGATAGCAACTGGTTTTTTTGAACTTGTCTTGCAGACTGCCAGATGGCATTCTCCACCTGCAGGTTGAGACTCCTGCCATGCTTTGTAAAAAGAGACTCAGTGGCATACCCTAGTTATAAGTGCTTGATTGTCGAACATCTTTAGGTTGGTTTGGGGCTCATCATATTTTATTTTTTTAATGGCAAGATTTGTTGCAGGGTCTGTTCATTTCCGTGTATCGCTGCTTTTGCTGATGGACATGAGGTATGTTTCTCTCTCTCGGGGTGGTAAGGGTGGTTTGTAATGAAACCCAGAGTTAGGTTGATGTAGTCAGGACAACTTCCCCTCTTACTCTTGAGAAGGGCTTTTTGAAAAAGGAAGCTAACTTTTCTTCCTGGAGGTCTGTACCTTGAAACTTACCCCTTTCCTCTGTTTTGTCTCATACCATGAGCAGGATGCATTACCAGTAAGTTTAAGGGCCCTTCTATTTCTGTTTGGAGCCCCTGAGTGGTGTAAACAGTTGATGCCTTCAGCTGCTAAACCAGAAGGTAGGAGGTTTGAGTCCACCCAGAGGCGCCTTGGAGGAAAAGCCTGGAATCTACTTCTGAAAAATAAGCCATTGAAAACTCTGCAGAGCAGAGTTCTACTCTGACACACATGGGATCACCATGAGTTGGAGTTGACTGCAACTGAATTTTTTTTTAACTGTGGCTATTGATAAAGGAATTTCAGGGTTTATACTATGCGTGTGAGGTCAATTATAGGAATGTAGCTTCATTTTACCCTATTAGTGAGTAACATTCATGCCCAGACAGAATGGAAAAGAGTGATTTGCTTGCTTCTTTCCTTCCAGTTGATGCATCCTGCTCTGTTTCCAGGAATTGGGTCTTTCTTTTTAGTTGTCTATACCTTGCCAAAGCTAAGAAGTTTCTTCCTCCACTCCACCCCCCGCCCCCTTTTTCTTTTTTAGTTTCTAGAGGAACAAGGTCCTCTGTCTAGAAGTTCCTCAGCTTAAACCACCACAATTTCAGGATAAAATCTTAAGGTCTCTGAACCTTGACTCAGCTGAGGTTTCCTGGACCCTGTCTTCAGAATGTCCAAATGAAACATTTCTATGAGATTCTTCTCCTCTTTTGCAGAAATGAATGAGGCAGTAAAGAGAGACCCTATCATGTTCAGATAGTTCTGTTCCAGGAAAAGCATGAGTTCTTTTTGTAATGGAATAATTCTCATCTGAACGTTTAGCATGGTTTTTATGTGTATAATTCATTCTGAAATGATCTCTTACAGATGAGAAAACCGGGAAGTGAAAAATTAGAGAAATTTTGGATTGATTTCAACCTAGGAAGTCAGAGCATATCATTTTATATAGACAATGCCAAGGTAATAGTGTGTAATCCCTGATTAGACTTAAGTGATTAGAGATGGTTGATATGTGCTCATGTTTTTCACTTATTTATTTATTTTTTTCCCAAGAGTATTCTGTGGGACTCGGTAAAAATTTTCAAGGAAGCGGTGGCTTATTTCAGCATAATAGGTAAGATGAACATTTTTAAAGTACCTCCCATATAATTCCAAGTGTTATTTCTATTTATGTCTGCAGGATATGTTGAGTCAATTCTAGAGCAGGGTTTGAGTGTTCCTTGATGTGGAAGGGAGATGATGTGGTACAATGGAAGGAGCACTGTGCTGGGGACCAGGATACAGGGGTAACATTGCTGGTGACTCCTTTGGTTTATAACTTTGGGGTTCAGAAAAAAAATGACTCACCTAGTTTTCCCATTAGAAGATGGTTATAGCAGCTGGCCTTCCTCTCCCACAGAGTTATGGTAATAGTGAGCTTATGTGAATCTGTAGCATCTCTATTTAAGTATCAGAACACACTTTTAAGCTTCCATCACTTATCTTTCCTCTCAGCTTGTAGGTAGGTGTCTTAATTACCTAGCATTGCTGTAATAGAAATACCACAAGTGAATGGCTTGAAAGAACATTAACTTATTTGCTTACAGTTCTGGAGGCCTAAAGTCCAAACCAGGGTCTCGGTTGTGTTGATTTCTTCCTTGTTGGTGGCCCTGGGCGGTCCTTGGCTTGTAGATGATCCTCTCGTGGTGCCTGTTTTCCCCTGTGTGTGTGTTTCTGTGTCTATTCTGGTCTTTTTATAACTCAGAAGTGATTAGGTTTAGAATTCACTCTACGCTAGTATGACGTGGACTAATTGATTACATTACATTAGATTGCAGCTTGGTAAATAATCTGCTCTACCCAAGGCCAACTGATTCAATCACTTGTAACTACTCTGTGACAGCAGCTAGACTAGTGCTTGGTCAAACAACTAGAAACCATTGACAAGCCACATTGGAGAGATGAAATTAATTGTCACAGTAGGGCGGGGGGGCATGAATGCAGGCGCAATCCTTTTTTGGGTGGAACAAGTATGTTGTTAGTTCACTTCAGTATTTCAGCTATTACCGTATTTGACTTTCTTTCCTGAATTGGGACTTACAGGAATATTTTGTAAAGTAACTCAGTATGTATAAGATTTTTTAAGTAATAGGTTTTCTAAAGAATTAAAAGTAAATATTATGTAATTATATTGATATTACACCTTACTTACTACTTTCCACAAAGGATTTGAGGCAGCTTACATCTTTATACCAAAATAGTAGAGAATTGGAACCACAGAAAAGAATAAAAATCTCTACCATGAAGGCTAGTGTAAAATGGCCGTTTTGGAGATTCAGATTAGATTCTTAGCTTCCTGGAGACCAGGTGAAAGTGAAGTATGATCGGTAACATGATTCTCATCATGGAAGTCCTGGGGAGAACAAATCCTTTCTCACCTTGAACTCTAATTCAGGGTTCTCCCAGGGAACTACTTAGGGATAAGGAAATCCTTCTTAAGCCCTGAGTTCCCCTTGCTGGAGACTGCTATACATGAGAGCTTCAGTGCTCTATTAACGGGATTTTTAAAAAGATGAAGTCATGACCCTCATACAAATATAAAATTAATATAACTTGAATGTGTTTTCCTAATTTATTAATTAATGAGGAAACCAATAAAATGTTACGGTTGGTTCAAAGGAGAACTCAAAGAACCACATATACAGAGGCAACACTGAAATGAATTTGCACGTAGGTGAAAAACTAGAAATTGCATTCCACAGATACAATTCATTTGCCTTTCGACAGATAAGAATTTGTTGCATTATTACCAGTTTTCTACAATTTAATCAACCAGTTGCCGAGAGTGGACCCAGACTCACGGCAACCCTATGTGTGTCAGAGTGGAACTATGTTCCAAGGGGTGTTCACTGGCTGATTTTTCAGAAGTAGATTGCCAGGCCTTTCTTCCAAGGTGCTTCTGGGTGGACTTGGACCTCCAGTCTTTCAGTTGGCTGCTAAGCGTGTTAGCCATTTGTGCCACCCAGGGACTCCTGCAACTTAACAGAGGTGTAAAATAGCTGAAAGACAGTGAAAGGGTCAGAGAAGGGTGTGCTAGACAGGACACACGGTAAGTTCGTGGTTGATTTCAAGGCCTTTCACAATTTCCCCCCGTATAGTTCTTCTCAGTGCCTGTGAGAATTTGATTAGAGTTTCTCCTGTTGGGGATTATTAGAAAAAAGCAGGAATTTGGGGCTGGGAGTAGATTAGGAAGGAAAGCTAGTGGAGGAAGAGAGGTTTTCACGGGGAAGCTTCAGGAGATGGAAGGAAGAGGGAGGAATAGAAACCTAGATTTTGGAAGTGTGCCTGTTGGCATCTGAGGAGGCTGGTTGTTGAGAGAACTGAGAGAGATGGAAGAGGGGGAAGCCAATAGCCATGTAGTTACAGAAATGGAAAGATAGTACGCATTGAGTTGGATGTGTCTCCTGTCTGTAGTAAAGGAAAGGAGCTTATAAACATCTCCTGAGAAATAGAAATCAAAAGTTGTCACTAATTTATATAGCAATTATCTGTTAGCATTACTAATCTAAGAGACATAAAATGTCACTGATATTTACTATATGGAGTCCCTGGGTGGTGCAGACGGCTAAGCTCTTGACTACTAGCCAAAAGGTTGACAGTTCGAACCCACCCAGAGGTGCCTCAGAAGACAGGCTTGGAGATCTGTTTCTGAAAGGTCACAGCCTTGAAAACCCTGTGGAGTAGTTCTACACTGCACACACGGGGTTGTCACGAGTCAAAACTGACTTGACAGCAACTAACAACAAAAACGTGTATCAAAGGAGTCCCTGGGTGGCACAAATGATTAATGTGCTCGGCTGCTAATCGAAAGGTTGGAGGTTTGAGCCCACCCAGAGGTACCTTGGAAGAAAGGCCTGGTGATCTACTTCTGAAAAATCAGCCATTGAAAACCCTGTGAAGTGCAGTGCTGCTCTGCACACATAGGGTCGCCAAGAGTCAGAGTCAACTGAGGGCAGCTAACAACAGCAGCTTGTAGGAGGGTTGGTGCAGTCCTCGGGCTGTTTCTTTCTTTTGCTTTACAGTTAACTGGTTTTTTAAGAAAGTAACGGGGTACAACTCAGGATCCGGATCAACAGGCTACAACTCAGAATCAGGATCAGGAAGCACGTAGGCAAAGTTTCTCTTCAGTGCAGATCAGCTCTCTCAGCTCCTCTTTGCTTCACGGGCCTCCTCTCGGCCCCGAGTATAGGCCTCCTCCGGGCCCCCCTGAGGATGGGCTTCTCTGGGCCCCCCGTGAGGACGGGCTCCTCTGGGCCCTGCTGTCTATCACACCTCTGTCATGGGGCCTGTTCCAGGCCTGTTGCCACCTTCAGTGTTACAGCTCTTTTAGGAAGTTCCTTGTCTCCTGTCTATCTCTGTGCTTCTTTTTTCCTTCTGCTTCTTCCTGCTGCTTTTCGTCCTGCTTCTGCTTTTTTTAGATTTTATTATGCTTTAAGTGAAAGTTTACAGAGCAAATAAATTCCCCTTGCATTTTTAATTCTTCCTTTCTATCGATTGATTATTCTTGAAATCTAATAATTTTAAATTTAGAATTTAAATGAGCATTTTGTCATGTTTAAGTTATTTTTATAAAAGTAATTTTTAAAATATTCTTTTATCTTCTAATCTCATTCCCTTGTACCCCCTCCCTAGTCCACAAATTATAACTCTGGTAATTTGGTGTATCAGTATCTATTGCTGCCGAACAAATTACCCCAAAACTAAATGGCTTGAGACAGCGTTTATTATCTCACAATTTCGGTGGGTCAGCCATCTGGGTCCTCTGGCTCAGGATCTCTCACAAGGCTGCAATCAAGGTGTTAGTTGGGGCTGCAGTCATCTCAAGGGTCAACTGAGGCAAAATCCCCTTCCAGGATCACTCAGCAGTTATTGGCAGGATTCAGTTCCTTGAGGGCTGTTGGAATGAATTCCTCACTGGCTGTTGGCTGGAGGCTGCCCTCAGTTCCTTGCCATGTGGGCCTCTCCATAGAGCAGCTCGCAGCATGGCAGCTTGCTTCATCAGAGTGAGAAGAATCGGAGCCAGCAAGAGGAAAGTCACAGTCTTTTGGAAGTGATACTCCATTGCTTCTATATATTAGAAATAAGGCACTTCTAGCCCACACTCAAGGAGAGGTGACAATACCAGGCATGGACCCTAGGAGGCAGGGATCATTGTGGGCCACCTTAGAGGCTGACTACCAAAGCATGTATCTTTCCAGCTAATTATTTTATGCATCTGCCTAAATATCTATAAATGAATTCTGTACCTAAATATTAAAATGTAGTGTTTTATATTTTTTCAGTTTACAGAAATGGTTTCATAATATGTTAATTATCCTCTCAATATTATATTTTTTGACATCTAATCATATTGATCTATTTAGATCTATAGGATCGCTGTTAGTCAGAATCGACTAGGCGGCAACAGCTAGTTCTTTTAACCACTATTCAGTATTCAATCTATAGATTACCACATTTTTACTTAAAAGTTCACTTATTTATTTTCCTACTGATAGACATTTAAGTTGATTGCTTTTTTTTTTTTTTTTTGGTGTTACAGTGTGACAGCATCTTTGCATATGTCTCCTTGAATACATATGCAGAAGCTTGAGTTTGTATTTGCCCATGATCCTAGAAGTTAAAATTTTATAACCTAATACTAAATTGTTCTCCTAATTGATTATACCTGTTTATACTCACACGTGTTTATGAAATTTACCTGTTTCCAACTTTCACGCCAATCCTTAAGTGGTAATATATGGTGTCTTTTTTTTTTTTCTTCATTGTTGTGCTTTAAGTGAAAGTTTACATTTCAAGTTAGTCTCGCATACAAAAATTTATACATACATTGTTTTGTGACCCTATTTGCTCTCCCTGTACTGTGACAGCACACTTCTCCTTTCCACCTCGGATTTCCCATGTCCATTCAGCCAGCTCCTGACCCTCTCTGCCTTCTCATTTGGTCTCTGAACAGGAGCTGCCCATTTAGTCTCATGTATCTACTTGAGCTAAGAAGCACACACTTCACGAGTATCATTTTATGTCCCATAGTCCAGTCTAATCTTTGTCTGAAGAACTGGCCTCGGGAATGGTTTTAGTTTTGGGCTAACAGAGAGTCTGGGGCACTGTCTGTGTCTTGACTGGTGCATTTAACCTGTTCACATTCAGTGTGATTATTGATACATATGAATTTACTGTTGTCATTGTGTTATACTTTTTTTGTGGTATTGATAGTTGATTGTCCCACTTAATTTTCTGTGCTGAGTTCTTTTTGTTCATGGATTATCTTTCCATTTCCTTCATTTTTATTGATTTTATGTTTACTGAGTGTTTTTGATTTTCTTCTTTATTCTGGTGGGTAGGTTTGTTAATTTTCTTTGTGGTTACCATGAGGTTTACCTTTATCATCCTATGTTTAAAGTGGTCTGTTATTTTTAGATATTGCTTTGACTTCTTCTCCATATGGAAGATCTGTAACTACACTGTTACTCATCCTTTTTGTTTTCAAGTTGTCATCGATTCCAGATTGATATCTCTGGTTCCCTGTTTCAGGTTCTGTAGCTTCATTTTCCTTTTGAGATTTCTCTGTGTAGATTGGCATCTTAGTAATGCCCTCGTGCAGCTTTTTCTCAGGCTGTTGTCTGCTGTCATTGATTCTGTATCCAGAGGACTCCCTTTGATATTTCTTGTAAGGATGGTCTGATTTTTAAAAATTCCCTTAATTTCTGTTTATCTGGGAATGTCCTCATTTTGCCATCGTATTTGAGAGATGATTTTGCTGGGTATATGATTCTCGGTTGGCAGTTCTTTTCTTTCAGGGTTTTATGTATGTTATCCCATTGCCTTCTTGCCTGCATGGTTTCTGCTGAGAAATCAGACCTTAGCCTCACTGGAGTCCCTTTGTAGGTGATTTCTTTTTTCCTGAGCAGCTCTCAGAGTTCTCTCTTTATCTTTGGACTTGGAAAGTTTGATTATGATGCGTCTTGGTGACTTTCTTCTGGGATCTGTTCTGTGTGGGGTTCATTGAGCTTCTTGGATGAAAATCTTCTCGTCTTTATGATATTGGGCAAGTTTTCTTGCCAGCAAATCTTCAAAAATTCTCTGTGCTTTTTTGTCTCCTCCTGTTCTGGGATTCCCATCACATGTAAATTATTCCTCTTCATAGTGTCCCACATAATTCTTAGGCTTTCTTCATTCTTTTTTCTGATTGTTCCGCAAACAAATTGGTACCAAGGGATTTGTCCTCTACTTCACGGATTGTTTCTTCCATTGTTTCAGTTCTCCTTCTACGTCCTTTGATTGAATTATCTGTTTCTGAAATTGTTACTCTTCTGGATTTCTAGTTGCTGTTATTGTATGATTTCTGTCTATTTAATTTCTCATTTTGTTCTTGTATTGTCTTCCTGAATTCTTCTAGGGTTTTGTCTGTGTTTTTCTTGATCTCTTTGAGGACCCTGTATACAAGCCTTTTGAATTCCTTATTAGGCAGTTCTATTACCATCTCTTCCTCAGGAAGATTTTCTGCCCCTTTGTTTTGGTCATTTGATTGAGCCATCTTGTTTTGTTTCTTTATATAATTTGATATTGCCTGCTGTCTCCGAGGCTTTAAGGTGTTGCTTTATTTATTTATGACTTTTTTGTTTTGATTTATCAGTGCAAGCATGTTGGGTGTGCTTTGATGATCCCTCGTGCCGACACAAGGGTGATCACCTCCTGCCCCCAGTTGGACGGGAACGACAGGCAGGGCTTGCCCTCGGCACTGTTCGCTGTATGTGTGAGATGGCTGAGGGTGTTCTGGGTGGTTGCTCTCCAGCAGTATGGCAATACTCACAGTTGCTCACCAGGTGGGCAGGATACGAGCAAGCAGCAAGGTGGGGCATCTAGGGGGGTGCTGAGGCACTCCCTTCATCACAGGTGGTGGGGTGGTCTGCCAGGGGTTGCTCAGGTGCTATCTCTGATGGGAGGGGCAGGGTGGGCAGTTGGGGGAGCATAGATGCTCTCTGTAATGGGAGAGGGGCGGGGCAGTCGGCTGGGGGAGCACAAGTGTATGGGAGAGGTGTGGGGTGGGATGTGGCAGGCGTCCAGGGGTTGTGAGGCACTTTTCTGGAGAGGGGGTGGGTGGGCAGCCTGGGGTCTTGCAGGTGCTCTCCCTGGTTGGGGGGGCAGTGCAGGTGGCCGGGGAGTGGGGGAGAGAGAAAAAATAGGGGAGGGGGTCATCTGTTGCTCTGTTGTTACCACCTGCCGTATCAGTTGGGTACTGCCCCTGGAGAGTCGCTCTGTCTCTGGGTCCTGGCTCCCTCCCTGGTCTGTGAACGCCAGGACCCCTGAAGTTCTGGTCCTCCTTCCTGTGCTTTCCCTCCTTAGCTCCAGTTCACGTCCTGCTCACCTTACTTCACTCTGGGTGTGTATACACATTTTTCTGTCTCCTGTTGGGAGTTCCGTGTTGTTGTCTTCTGTGCTCCTAACCCAGGGTCGCTGCTGGCTTTGTCTCAAAATGGCCCCACAATGCCAGGCTGTCTGGCAGGGCGCCTCTGCTCCACGTCTCTCACTGTTTGCTGTTGTCATTTCTTTTTCCAGTTGATGTTTGATCAAATTCTATATCCCTTCATTTGATGCTCAGGGTTCCAGGGTTGTCATCTGTATTATTTTCACTTTGTTTCTCGGGTCTTTGCTACAGGGGGATGGCGTGGTGTGTTTGACTAGGCTGCTATCTTGAATCTCTCCCTCAGGATATTTCTTCTGACCCTTTTGTTTTTTCTTGATCCTGCCTGCCCAGCTAGCTAGTTGCCTTTTCAGATGTGGTCCAGAATTACTTTGTTACAAGGTTGTATAGACTTTCCCTGCGATCACTAAATGTCAAGATCAGTATTTTGGGTGGTGACTGAGCTTTACTTGAGACCAGTGCTGTCCTACAGTAATAGAAGTCAAATATTTAAGTGACTTGTTCAATATTACATGGCTTGAAAGGGGCAGAAGTCATACTTGTATGTATACTCCCTCAACCATCCACTATGGACCACAATTCCATTTTAAATTAAAATTTAAAATTTTCTGGTAGCCACATTAAAAAAGTAAAAAAAAAAAAAAAAAAAAAAAAGTCAATTTTAATATTTTATTTAGCCCAAGTATATCCAAAATGTTTATACTTTAATGTATAATTAATATATAAAAATTATTAATGGCATTGTACTTTTTCTGTTGTTTTTTGTTTAACTACAACTTCAAAATCTAATCTGTATTTTATTCTTACAAAAGCACATATCAGTTTGGTCTGCCACATTTCAAGTCCTCAGTAGCCAGATGTGGCTAGTGGCTACCTTGTTGGAAAGCACAGGTCTTGACCCAGGTGTGTCTCTGTCTTTGCTCTTCTTTCCCACCTCATTAATTTGTGGCTCTAAGCTTTGCATGCTCTTTCATGAACTTTATTCCTTTTCTATCTTGCTGCTTCCAGTTTAGCTTGTATTGATTGTGGCTTATTCATGGAGTCTCTTTGAATTATGAAGCTCTGGTGGCACAGTGGTTAAGAGCTTGGCTACTAACCAAAAGGTCAGCAGTTCGAATCCACCACCTGCTCCCTGGAAACCTTATGGGGCAGTTCTACTCTGTCCTGTAGGGTCGCTATGAGTTGAAATCGACTCGATGGCAATGGGCTTGGGTTTTTTTTTTTTTTTCTCCTCTGAATTATGATCTAAGCTATTTTTCTTCTAAAACTGATGACTGTCATTAAAAGGCTGACGTCTTGGTAGGATACCCTCAAGGACACTGTTGTTTGAGAAACATATGTCTTCCTACAATGTTTCTATTTCTCCTCTTTAAGCAAAGTCCATTGAATGGAGGTGGATTATTCCATTTTTTGCATATTGGGAACAGTGAATTTTATTTTGCAGTGGGACTCTCAGGGAGAAAGGGAGAGAGAGGGAGGGAGGCAAGAAGAGAGACAGACAATGACAATGATTAGTGTACTTAAAATATTGGGAAGTAACAAGTATGTAACTGTTGCAGACAGTAGCTTTGTATTCACAAAATGCTCTTAAAAAACTAACTGAACTGCAGAATTCAGTCTGTCTCCAGCGCTCTGCTGCTAAGGTAAGTTACTTTCTGTTTCGGCAAGATCAACCCCTTGTATACACACGCATACAGATGCATCGAAAAGAAATAATTTCAAAGTGATTTTATTCAATATGATTTCTTTTCAACTTTTTATTGCAGAAGACTCTGGACAGTTGACAAAAATCCCAGTGCAGTTATTTAAGATTATAAATTTAAAATATAACTTTTCAGTGTATTGATATGCGTTGGTATATTTCATTTTTTGATAGAAACGGAGAAGATGAAGATGCTCGTTATTTACCTAAAGAAGCCTGTGATTATCAGCGAAAAAGAAGTGATGAAAACAGAAATCCATTTTGAGTTGGAATTCAGCATATCACAAGTTGCCATTAAAGCTTTAGGAGAAGACAATCAGGTGACAGGTTTAATTATTTGAATATGATTTAGATGTTTTCATGTCTCTTAAATTTCCTTGTTGGGTTTTGATATGAACATCTGGTCAAGCAGAGGCTTGATCTTTTGAATACCAGGTGATAAGAATTGAGAGTTCTGGGTTTGAATCCCAGTTCTTTCTCATGTATCATCTGTCTTAGCTGTGTAGGACACAAGGCCTCTTTATGCCTTAAAATGCTTCGTTCTGTTCGTTGTGAACAAATGACATCTATTCTGGGATAATATCATCTCCTTGCTACATTCTTCCTGCTGTCCTGAGGGTACTCTCTGTGTGCTTCTTGGTGCTGTCTTCTTTCTCAGCTCCTCTTGGACCTAGGGGAATGATTAGAGATAGGTTTCTTAGGGAGGTTTCCCAAAGTTCTGTCTACTGGTCATAGTTTGTGGAAATGGTCTGGGCCTGTTATAGATTACTATGGTCTCAGTCTCTCTGTTTCCTCCTTATACGTAAGAGCAAGACACCTTTCTCTGTCATAGACGGCAGGAAGGGCAAAGAAATTTGTGACGAGAAGACAGAATACTGTGGGAATGGTGGGGACAATAGGGTATTGAGTTAAGAGCTTAGAGACCTAAGGGAGGAAGTCTCAGGCAGCCTTCTTTTTTGTTATGTGTGGTATATGAAAATGTTTATACCTAATATAGTGTCCTGCAAATACAGCTTCCAAAGACTCACTCCAGGAAAAGACCATTTCAGGGGTAAGGATGAGGATGAGAAATTAGAGTCAAATCAATCACTTAATACAAAACAGTCCCCTCCATCATATTATGTATGAATGGACCTAAAACTGTAGGTTTGCCTTTGCTCAGGAAAAACATCAACATTACATGTATTTACACATTTTACAAAGTGAATAAAAGTGTTTTGGGGGAGAAATAGGGTTTGCATGTGATTAAGTCTCAGTTCCTGGAATGGGAGATGTCTGTGGGTGGCGGGGCAGGGATGGTGAAATCCTACACGTGGGAACACACTGCAGACCCAGTAAAGGCTGGGCCGACCTGACCCCCAGCAACCCCTGCTTCAGGGAGTAGAAGTTACCACGGAGGTTATACTTGGGCAGAGGAAAGAGAGGTCATGAAGACACCAGCATAGAGTGGTTTAGAGCAGAGTAATGTACAGCAGAGCTGGGCCTGGAGGAAGGAGGGACAGGATAGGCTGGGAAGAGAGAAGAGTGATCCCTTAAGATAGGACAAACTGAAGACCGACTTCTTCCAATCTATCGATTTTCTGAGTTTTGAGCTTTTTAAGTTATATATATGTGTGTGTGTATATGTGTGTATGTATGTGTGATGTGTTGTGATGTGCCATTGAGTCGATTCCAACTCATAGCTACCCCATAGGACAGAGTAGAACTGCCCTGTAGGGTTTCTTAGGCTGTAATCTTTATGGGAGCAGATAGCCAGGTCTTTTCTGCCACTGAGCTGTTGTTGAGTTTGAACCACCGACCTTTCAGCTAGCAGCTGAGCGCTTAACCATTGTGAAACCATGTCTCCTTATAAAGATATATAGATACGTGCATACCAATGCCAGTTGCTGTCGAATCAACTCTGACTCATGGTGACCCCATGTGTGTCAGAGTAGAACTGTGCTCCATAGGGTTTTCAATCACTGATTTTTTGGCAGTAAATCGCTAGGGCTTTCTTCTGAGCCACCTCTGGGTGGACTTGAACTTTAAACCTTTTGGTTAGCAGTTGAGTGCAAGTACATAACCCATTTGCACTACCCATAGATTGTCTTTCTCTCTCTTGTCTATATGTGCGCGCGCACACACGGACACTCCCATAAAAGATGGCTGCTTTTAGAAGTGGTTTTGGCTTGCATTTCAGATGTTGCCTGAACAGAAAGAAGTTTCCTCAGAATTTGTCGGTAAGTTTGAAAAAGAAGACTGAGATTCCTAGCTACCATGAAAAAAGAGAACAGGTATATTGGGAAATAACAAAATTCTTACTTTGAATTCCTTATAAAAGCAATAATAAAACCTTATCTGGAAGAGTTCACTGAATACCTATGGCCATATAAGAGTAATAAATGGATTATTTTTTCTTTGGAGATAGAAAAGCAGCTAGTGGCCTTGAATTATTCTTGCCCCCTAATTGCCCCCTAATAAAATCTCTCTTGTGGGTCAGTTGGAAATGACAAAGGAGGAAAATGGTGCGGGGAGGGAGGGCCCGGGGCCCTGCCCAGTATTAGTGAAGTCATCATGAGAGGGGCTTAGCTCACCTGCCCACAAAGCTGGCCCTGCATTACCAGATGACACATGTCTTCTGAGTGGGATCTCCAGGTGGTTTTCCCGAGTGCCCAGAGATTTCTGATTTTATGTTTGAGGTAGAACCTCATTTCCACTCTTACCAAAAGGTGGTTCTATACCAGCCGTGTGTGACCCACAAAGAGCAATTGGAGAGTATATGGCACGGGACATGGTTATTATTATTCTTTAATGCTCTGTTTTTAATTTTTTGTTGTGCTTTAGGTGAAAGTTTACAGAGCAAATTAGTTTATCATTCAAAAGTTTATATGCAAATTGTTTTGTGATACTGTTTGCAGTCCCCACGATGTGTCAACACTCTCCCCTTCTCCACCCTGGATTCCCCATTTTCATTTGTCCAGTTTTCCTGTTCCCTTCCTGCCTTTTCCTCTTTGCTTGTAGACAGATGTTGCCCATTTGGTCTCATTTACATGACGGAGCTAAGAAGCACATTCTTCACGTGTTGTTATTTGTTTTATAGACACACTGTGTAATCTTCGACTGAAGGGCGAACTTAGGGAGTAACTTCAGTTCTGAGTTAGAAGGGTGTCTAGGGGCCATAGTCTTGGGGTTCCTCCAGTTTCTATCAGACCAGTAAGTCTGGTCTTTTTTGTGAATTTGAATTTTAGTCTACATTTTTCTCCCACTCTGTCCAGGACCCTCTATTATGATCCCTGACAGAGCGGTCAATGGTGTTAGCTGGGCACCATCTAATTGTTCTGGGCTCAGGCTAGTGGAGGCTGTGGTACTTGTGGTCCTTTAGCCCTTTGGAGTAGCATTTCCCATGTGTGTTTGGTTTTCGTCATTCTCCTTTGCTCTGGATGGGATGGGGCCAGTAGATGTATCTTAGATGCGTGCTTGTAAGCTTTTAAGACCCCAGATGCTGCTCACCGAAGTTGGATGTAGAACATTGTCTTTTAAGAACTGCGTTATGCCAGTTGACCTAGATGTCCCCCGAGACCGTAGTCGCCAGCCCCCAGCCCAGTAACTCGGTCCCTCAGAGTATTTGGATGTGTCTGACGTTTTTATGACTTCACCTTGGTCACGCTGTGCTGACTTCCCCTACGATGGGTACTGTCGTTCCTTTCACCAAAGTCGTCACGTATCTACTCTCTAGTTAGTGATTCCTCTTCTACTCCCCTCCCCTCCCCTCCCCTCTCCTCCCTCGTAACCATCAAAGATTGTTTCTTTCTGTGGGTAAACTTCTTCCTGAGTTTTTATAATTAATGCTCTTTTCTTAATGTATATAGCAGAGGCAGAAGAATCCCCCGATCCAGAAGAGTTAATGAGTGTTGGAGGTGACCGCTGCCTAATAACTCTTCGTATTAATGGCCAGAATGAGCCGGCTGTGAGTACGGGCAGCTGGGGGCAGGGTTCTGAGCTGTGTTCACTAGGATGCTGGCAGATGGAAGCTGCCTCGCCTGGCTTCTTCACCGTTTTTTCCTATTAGACCATCTCTCTCTTTTTTGACCATCCCCTCCTTTAGGTTATTTTTGCCTGTCGTGTTTATGGTATTCTTTTCTCTTGCTCAACTTGGCTGTCCCGTGGACTTCTTGAGTTGGCTGGCCTCTGCTTCATTCTGTCATCTGGGGTCTGGATACTGAGATGTAGGGAAAGAAACCTAGTGTTTGGAGGATATAAAGCGGAGGTGATATCCCTGTGAGGGTTAAACAAAAAGGTACATGAAGCATCTAACACAGTGCTTGGCACATAGAGGTTCTTAGTCCATTCCTCGTTTTTCTTGCACATGTTTACATGGATACATTATACAGAAGGGTGATGATGAGTGTCATGTTGGCGTCAAGAAGGAACACATCAGGATGATTTTTCCAGATAGTCATCTTTTAAGCAGTCTTCTTAGGAAGTTGCACACAGCCCAGCAATACTGATGTTGTTGAAGATATTTTTGTACACCTTCCTCTGGTGTCTCCCTTAGTAATGGGGACACATCCTGTGACTATCTTTAATAGTGACGAATTTTCTTCTCTGAGGGTGGATATGAATTTTTTTTGGAACATTCGACAGTCACTTGGAGCCAAGTCCAGTGAGTAAAGAGGCTGGTATCTTATTGTTCAATGGAAATGCTTTTCTTATCGGGTGTCAAGTGGCCCCAAAAGAATTTCAAAAAAGGAGCTGTGAGGGTACCAGAACTAAATATATGTATATATCTGTGTATATTTGCAGCAAACAAATAGAGCTGATAGTTCGTCTGGAAAATCAAAACTGGAGGATACCCGACAAGGTCAGATATTTCTTCCTTATCATGGATAAGACCTGAATGGTATCTTAAAATGTTTACTTAAGATGCTTAATAATTTTTGTTTTTAATTTTCATGGTTGGAAGTTACTTCAGAATATGAATTTTCTTCCGAATTAGAAGAACCATCTGTTACAATTCAGAATCCAAAATTAAATAGCGTTTCTAGGTAAGTGATTTTCAAAACGAATAAACCGTTCAAGTCACTTGTTAACGTGTGAACTACAAGTTACCTATGTCTCTAAGTTTTGTCTCTTTGCTGCATCTGGTCACTGCCATACAACGAGAGAGCATGTGTGCTTTTTTTTAAAAATGGTTTTATCGCGGTAAAAAAAATATATAACAAAGCATTTGAGAATTCAGCATTTTTTTACATGTACAATTGAGTGACATCGATTATGTTCATTGTATTGTACAACTATCATTTGTGCAGTTTTTCATTATAGAATGATTTAAGCAGCGCTGGAAGATTCTCCTGACTTCCAGTTCTCTACTGTTATACCCCTGGTGTTTTCTTTGGCAGGAGCCCTTGTGGCTCAATGGTTAAGTGCTCGGCTACTAACCGAAAGATCGATGGTTCAAACCCACTAGCCGCTCTGTGGTAGAAAGATGCTTCCGTAAAGATTTACAGCCTTGGAAACCCTGTGGGGTTCTACTCTGTCCCATAGCATCTCTATGAGTCTGAATCGACTTGACAGCAACATGTTTAGGTATGGGGGTTATCTTTGACAATGTATTTTTCTGGGGCAAAACATCAAATATTCCCCATCAGAAAACAAATCATTTGGTGATATCACCGTAAAAAACAAACAAAACAAAACCCATTGCTGTTGAGGCGACTCCAGCTCATGGTGACCCCAAGTGTTACAGAGTAGAACTGCTCCATAGGGTTTTCTTGACTGTTACGTTTATGGAAGCAGATCACCAGACCTTTCTTCCACAGCACCAGTGGGTGGCTTCAAACTGTCAGTTTTTTGGCTAATAGTCAAACACAAACTGTTTGCACCACCCTGTAATTTATTTACCACTTTTCCATTTAGACTTATGGGGGAAGGAGTCACAGCACAAGTGAATTTTTTACAGCTTCACTGAGATATAATTTATATATAATAAACTAGATATATTTAAAATGTTCAATTTGATGAGTTTCAACATATGTACACACCAGTGAAACCATCACCACGGTCAGGATAGTAAACACACTGATCACCTCCAAGAGTTTCCTCATGCTCCTTTGAAATCCTTTCTGTTACTCTGGATGAGTTTGCAGTTTTTAGAATTTCATATAAGTGAAATCGAACAGTGGTGCACTTTTTTCTTTGGCTCCTTTCACACAGCATAATTTGTGTGTGTGTGTGTGCGTGTGTGTGTGTGTGTGTCTGTGTGTGTGTGATTTATCCCATATTGTTGCACGTATAAATAGTTGATTTCTGTTTATTTCTGAGTAGTGTTCCATTGTATGGACAGTCCACCAGTTTATCCATTCACCCGTTGTTTGGCATTTGAGTTGTTTCCAGCTTTTGGCTATTACAAATAAAGTCACAAATAAAACTGCAGTGGGCATTCATGCACAAGTATTTGTATGGCTATATGCTGTCTTTACTCTTGGGTGGATAAATAGGATTGGAATGGATGTATCCTTTACTTTTTAGAAAACTGAAAAACTGTTTGCCATTGTGGTTGTAGCATTTTACATCCCCACCAGCAGTGTTTGGGAGTTCTAGTTGTTACAGATTCTAGCCAGTACTTGGTAATACCAGTCTTTCTAATTTTAACCAGTCTAGTGGAAGTAGTGTTTCATTGAGGTTTTAATTTGTATTTCTCCAGTGAGTAATGATATTGACCATGTTTTCCTATTTGTAGTTACCATTTGTGTATCTTCTTAGGTAAAGTGTCTTCACATCTTTCACTCATTTTGGTTTTATTGGGTTGATTGTTTTCCTATTATTGAATTAGTAAAGAGTTCTTTATATAATTCTAGATACAAATCCTTTGTGGGATGTATGTGTTACATATATTTTATCCCATTCTGTGATTTACCTTTTTTATATCTATTAAAAATTACTTTTATGGAATAAGAGTTTTTATAGAGTTTTATAGAGCAAAAGTTTTTAATTAGAAAATCCAGTTTATTGATTTTTTTCTTTTATAGTTTATGCTTTTCAGTGACATGCCTAAGAAATTTTTGACAAACTCATGGTCAGTAGAATTTTTCCCTATGTTTTCTTCCATACGTTTTATAGTTTTAGCTCTTATTTCAGTTTATCATCTGTTCTGAGTTAATTTTTGTGTCTTGTGTGAGATAAAGGTTGAGGTTCATTTTTTCTTTCTCATGTGACTATCCAGTTATTCCAGCATCATTTATTGAAAAGATTATTCTTTCGCTTGTTGAATTGCTTTGTCACTTTATTGAAAATCAATTGACAAAATATGTGTGGCTCTCTTTCTGGACTCTGTTCTGTTCCAAGATCTGTTTGTCTGTTGTTACACAGTATCTTAATTATTGTAGCTTTACTGTCTTAAATATTGTAGCTCATTTTGAAATGAGGTATGCAAGCACTCCTGGTGTTTTGAATATACTAGGTCCTTCCTATTTCCATATAGATTTTAGAATCAGCTTTTAAATTTTTCAGAAAGCCTGCTGGGATTTTGACTAGGGGTACATTGAATTTATAGATTAATTTGGGAAGAATTGACATCATAACAGTGTTCATTCTTTTTTCCCATAAAATGGTATATCTCTCCATATGTTTAAGTCTTTAATTTCTCTCAAAATCTTTTGTATTTTTCATTGTATACATCTTTTACATATTTGCTCAGTTTATCCTTAAGGATTTCGTATTCGTTGCTATTAGAAATGATTTTCAGAATTTTCAATTTCTGGTTGCTTATTCTGTGGAGATATAGTTGATTTTTTTATGTTGATCTTGTATCCTACAATCTTGTTAAACCTCACTCATTACTTTTTTTTTTTTTAGCTTCCGTAGGATTTTCTATGTAGACAGTCATTTTGTCTATAAATAGAGACCGTTCACTTCTTTCAGATATGGATGCCTTTTCTTACTTTCTCTTGCCTTATTGCACTGGCTAGAACCTTCAGTACAGTGTTAAGTAGAAGCAGACATCCTTGCCTTTTCTCTTGGTCTTTTTGGGGAAAGCATTTAGTTTCTTAACCTTCAAGTATGATTTTTTTTTTTTTTTCAAAAAATTTTTTTTTACATACACATTTAAGTGACATTGACTACGCTCTTCTAATTGTGCTGTTATTCTC